GGCTGGTGGCGCGCGCAGACGGAATTCCTCTGCCAGAACGCGAGCTCCAGTTCGTTCAGGGCGAGCGCGTGAGGAACAAAAGCGCGTGGCTTCTGGGAAGGAGACGATGGGAACGGACAGCAGGACTTGGGCGAAGTGCGGGCAGTTAGAAAGGTTGCAGGGCAGAGTCGCATCGGGCGGCGGATCCACCGAGACACCCAAGGAACCACCAATAAAACACCGCTTTCAGGAGGAGAGGGAGAGGGAAGGGGAGGAGGCACAGGAAGAGCGAGCAAAGGCACACGAAGTAGTAGGTTGCATGCCCGCATGTCGACGGACACTGCCAAATGTGATGCTGAAGCGTCTCATCCGCCTGGTCACAGCGAAGGCGGGCGACACCCCCGAGCCTGCAGCCAGGGCCGTGAGCGGTCCTCCTCGCGCGGGGCCACTGTCCCTCCGACACCAATCTCTGCGCGAATCCATAAAGGAGCAACCTTCCTGCCAGCGCATGGCCTCTCATAAGACTGAGAAGCTCAAAGGTTGGCGCACACAACAGTATCGGCGATGCCTCCACCGAGGGAACACGATCCCGATCCCTGCGACGGTGGTAGCGCTCGGACTTCCTAGGTGGCCACAATATTACCACCACCACCACCACAGAAATCGAAGGTAACCTTCCCCTGGTGAAGACACCCCCCTGTCTTGGCATTGGTGCCAGTGCTCAGGCATCCAGAAAATGTGGTAGAAGCCCACGCCGCACTCCATGTCCGACGCGTTCTCGTACCCAATAGCTGGTGGCCGTAGGTGGCTCCTGGGCCAGAACCAGTCGCCCAGAGGTCCTTCGCCTCTTCGCCAAGAGCCCGACCGCCGAAACCGCATCGTACGACCCACGACGAGTGACGGGGATGAGTGAGAGAAGGGGGAGAGGACTTACAGAACCGACAGCCTTCGCGTAGCGAAATATGAAAATATAAACAAGCCCCAACGTTCACTTCTCAGCGCCTTTGCACCAAAACAAATCCTCCGAGGGGCGGAAGAGAGGCAAGACAGAAACGATCACCCTGGGGCGCCTGCGGGCTCCTCCGCGCCTGCGTGCACACTCATCCGGAAAAAGAAGGCAGCCCCAGCGGCGCCTCCGCCGCACCTGCGCGCGCAAGCCACTCACTCACGCTGACCCAGGCCTCCGCCTGCCATTGTAGGTAGGGACTCTGGAACTCCTTCGACCGCCAGGCGGGTCACCTGGCGCGAGACTTAGCGGAGCCCAGGACCACCCCCGCAGGCCCCCTGGCCCAAGGGGGGCCAGGTAGCACGCATCCATGAGCCTCGTGGGCGGGAGGACCCGAGCGCGGAGACTGGCGCTGGGGCGGAGAAAACCCCAGCCATTTAGTCCCTCGGCCCTCCGCATCCACCACCCCCCGCGAATGGGTGGTTGTTCGCGGCAGGTGAGGCCGTGCCCTCAAGGTCACGCTGCCCCCCCTGGCCCGAACGGCCAAGCGGGACAGCCCGACACACCAGGACCCGACCTACCCCACAGCGGCGCCCCGAGGGACGGCTGAGCGGGTTTTAGCTCCCACGGGGCCCCGATGAGCCGCCCGCTCACCGAGGCACACTTCCGGGGGCAGAGAAGGGGGAGAGGAAGGAGGGGGGACGGAGGGAGGAGGAGAGGAATGAGGGAGGAAGGCGGTGGAGGGGCACGAGGCGCAGGAGGAGGAGGCCAATGTAAATCTAAGACTCGCCAGCGATGTTGGAATACACCTTGATGGATGAAAAAACTACCATACCCTGGGTTACAAGTGCGTGGTCTGTAAACCTCCTGGGAACCCCCAAACCCTAGAGGACGCCAGGACGCCGCACATCACGCAGGGTTTACCCTGTCAGCCCACAGGAGTTTCAGCACACATCGCCTTGTAAACCAGGGTAGGGGCGTTTTTTTAAGCCCTTGAACACCCTCCCTCCAAGCTCCCTCTTCATAGGCTCGCTCCTACAAACATTCATTTCCAATGAAAGAGCTGCCCCGTGCTGGGACAACCGTGTGAAAAACCTGAAGCGTGCCAAATCACCGCTCTTGGGACTTCAGCGCCACGAGTCAGCCTCACTGTTGCGTCTTGGCGTTCCTGAATCGCGCAAGAAGACCCTTCCTGAGCTTCAATACCGCGAATCAACGTAACAAATGCTCCCCTGACAATTCTGAGTCGCTAACCGTAAGAACCAGAACATCTGGAGAACGTTTGAAACAAATGCGCGCGGCGCTAAGGAATAACCACCATTTGACAAGGAAGTTTGACGCGAATGTGTGGCGCTAAGGCGAGAGACACAGGTTGGAATAACCACAACTTGACAAGGAAGTGTGACGCGAATGTGTGGCGCTAAGGCGAGAGACACAGGTTGAAAAGGTATCATCCTCAGTCTGTGAAACTCTTCCAGTCTGATAAAAACGAATGTGCGCGGCACTAGGGCGAGACCACACGTTGAAAATGGCCCGCCCTCAATTCGTGAAGCTCTTGCTACAATTTGTAACACAAGTGTGCGCGGCGCTGAAGCGAGAACCACATGTCGAAAACGGCACGCCCTCAATCCGTGAAACGCTTGCGAATGTTTGAAACGAATGTGCACGGCGCTGAAGCGAGAGCCACATTTTGGAAGCGATCTGCCCTCAATCTGTGAAAGTGCTTCTGATTGATAACCTTAAGGCTCACGAATGATAACTTGACGCAGTCTCAAGCGGAACACCCGGTCTGCCCTTCCGACTGGCCTCGGGATGCGATAAAGAATCATTATGCATAAGGAAACGGAATGGAGGACGAGGGCAGGACTAGGACGAGGAGGGGAACGAGGAGGAGAAGGAGGAGGAGGGGGGGGAGGAGAGAGGCAAGAATGAGGAATCGTCATTCCGCCAGTTTCCTCCGAGCAACCCAGATGCCCACTAGGTCGCCCACTGATGTGTTCCAAATTCGTGCTTCTGCGCGAGAAGCGGAATCGACCTCCAGCCGACGTTTGACTGGGCGCGGCAGCGACGGTAGGATCCCTTGCCCCCCCCCTCCTCCTCCAGCCACTCCCCCAATCGACCCCGCCATCCCGCCGCCCTTCCGTGGGGGCTACAAGCCACGCCGTCGCCGAGCAGACAGCGACGGACCAGTTGGCGCGACGAGCGGGCCGGCCACCCGGGCCCCAGACCACAAGGGCCCCCCCGATCCCGGCGGGCGCGAGCTAGAGGCCAAAACCAAGCCTGCGGACACGCTTGCAGCCGCGCGCGGCCCCGCGGGGGGACGCGCGCGCATGCCCTCCTCGGCCACGGGGCAGCGAGAACCGCCTCCGAGGCCCAGAGACGGCGCCGTGCGCGCAGGCCTGGTAGGCCACCCACTACGGGGCCCACAAATATGACAACTAATTTTGCTGGGAGGTAGCCCCAAGCGATAACATCATTTTCAATGGCGTTGCCCCGCCCCCCAAACTGAAGACGATCGGGCCTGGCGGGCGCTCCAGCAGACCTAGTGGCCACAAGGAAAAAATGCTCACACAGACGCCATTCAGTGGCCACACAGAAAACAATGACCACATCGACGAAAAGTAGTGGTCACACTGACAAGGAATAGTGGTCATGCAGAAGAAGTGGTCAAATCGGCATGCAACAAGGGCGACAACAGCGCCTTCGCCCGCGCACTCTCTCCTCGGAGATTGGGGATAGGGGCGCAAACTCTCGGCATGCACTTCGACTCCCGTGCTCTCATGAGAACTTCTACGCTCGAGCGATTCGGGCACCCGCGTTGACTCGAGCGCTCCTTATGACGGACCTGCGATCTTGTACCGTTATGATGACGGAAAATGCGGTGCGCGATGATTCCAGCACGCCGACGTGTTGTTTCCTGAGCCGCGCCGAGCCTCACCCTCACTCTCAGACCTTTCTCTCTAGAAGTGTGGGAGCGTCGTCTTGCTCGACTGAAGAAAACTGGCGGAACGAGAATCGAAGGCGAAGGGGGGGAAGGGCGAGGGAGAGGATCGGCAGCGGCAGCAGCAGGAGGGCGGACGGGAACGGGAGGGGGTGGCACTGCCTTTGATGGCCCTGCTTTCCACCACCACCACCACCAGAAGTTGGACGGGGAGGGGGTCCTCCTCCTCCTCCTCCTCCTCCTCCTCCTCCTCCTCCTCGTCCGCCTCCAACTCGTCCTCCTCCTCCTTCCCCCCATCCAACTTCTGGTGGTGGTGGTGGAAAACGGGCCCATCACCCTTGACGCCCGTGGGCCGGCCCCAGGCCCGGCGCCAGGCCCCCTGCGACCCGGGGCCGAGCCGGGCGCGCGCCCTCGCGCCCCTGCGCAGCCCCCATCTGCGAGGGGCCGGCGCTCTGGCACGGACCGCGGCGCGCGAAGAGGCGGGCACCTTCGCGCCCCCCGGGGGTTGGGGAGGGGGTTTTCCAGGAGGGGTCCCCCAGGGGCTTCGCACCCTCTGTTTTGACGAAATTCCGAGGCCCCCTGGGGGGCTCTCTGGAGAACCCCTTCCCCCCAAACCCCCTTTGGAATCCTCCGGCAAGGGGAGGGTGCGGTGCAGGGACTTCCTCGGGAGCCCCAAGGCAGAACGCAACGAGAACAGGACTTGAGCCTCCTGGCGGGCGGCCGCGAGGCTCAGGGAGGAGGGAGAGAGCGGATGGCCAGCACGTGGCACGAGAGGGGATCTCCTTCCAAGGCTGCCGCCACCGACGCGGACCAGGCCCGCCCCAGGGACGCCAAGAATGAGGGGTCCGAAAGGGCCCCAGGAGACCCCCGAAGCGGCAAAAAATCCCCACCCACCCACACACACACACCACCACCACCACCACCACCACCGCCACCACCACCACCACCACCACCGCCGCGGGGAGAAAGGCCGGACGGGGAGGAGAGGGAAGGAGGCATGACGGAGGTGCACGAGATGGCGCGGGGCAGGGAGCGATGAGGGTCGGCAGGGAGTGCTGAGAAGCATCAGCAGCGTCGGCATCGGCAGCGGCTGGGCCTGAACCGCCGCCCTGGCCCCGCGGAGGCAGCCGCGCGTCAGTTCCCTGCGAGCGCGTCGTCGATCTCGCGGAGGCCTTCCCCGCTCGAGCTCAGTCGGCAGGCCCACAGCATGGAAAGACGGGAAAGGCACGATGGGCGGGGCAGAAACAAGATGTCGGCATTGATGATGATGAAATGAGGAACGGGCTGACAAGCGGAGCAGATACAGATCCGCCGAACCCTGCTTATCAGGGGTGAAAAGGCGCGTGAGATGATCGCCTGTCTCCCTCCCCCGCGCCCCCTCCCTGGGGAGCCGAACATCACGTCTAGAGGGGGGGGCGCGACGAGCTCCCTGGCGCAATCGGGGACCTCCAAGTCCACTCTCCGGCGCATGCTCTCCGAGGCGGCTCTAGAAGAGCTCCTCCAAGGCCAAGGAAGAGGCACCAGCAGGACGGCTCCAAATGGCCACGGAGACTCCCAAGGATCTCCTCAAGAGGCCGTAATCATCATTATCCCAGTGCGACCCTACCTAGGAGGTGGAGCCTCTAGGAAAGCAATATTAGTAGGAGCGGTAAACGCCGTCCTCCTCCTTCTCTTCATCGCCGTTGTAGCAGTAGCGGTAGCAATAGCGGTAGCAATAGCGGCAGTAGTAGCAGCAGCAGCAGCAGCAGCAGCAGCAGCAGCAGCAGCAGCAGTAGTAGTAGTAGTAGTAGCAGTAGTAGTAGTAGTAGTAGTAGTAGTAGTAGTAGTAGTAGTAGTGGTAGTAGTAGTAGTAGTAGTAGTAGTAGTAGTAGTGGTAGTAGTAGTAGTAGTAGTAGTGGTAGTAGTAGCAGTAGTAGTAGTAGTAGTAGAAGAAGAAAAAGAACAAGTAGTAGTCGTAGTAATATTAGTAGTCGTCGTCGTAGTAGTAGTAGTAGTAATAATAGTAGTAGTAGTAGTAGCAGTAATAGTAGTAGTAGTAGTAGTAGTAGAAGTAGAAGTAGAAGTATAAGTAGTAGTAGTAGTAGTAGTAGTAGTAGTAGCGCCAGAACCGCCGACGCCACGCCGTAAGTGAAGCAGCAGCAGAAGCAGGCAGCAAGTCGCCGAGACAACAGCAAAAGCAAGCAGGCATGGAGATGAGGGCGGGGCACTGGGGAGTTCTTTACATATACATCTATATCTACACCTACATCTACATCGACACCTACACCTACATCTAGACCTACATCTACACCTACAGCTACATCTACATCTACACCTGCATCTACATCTACATCGGCATCAACAGCGAGACTCACGTCTACATCTACATATACATCTACACCTACACCTACATCTACATGTACATCTACACCTACACCTACATCCACATCTACCCCTACACCTACATCTACATCTACATCTACACTTTCGCATTGGTTTTGCTTTTGCTTTGCATTGCCTTTGCTGTTGCTCGTGCCTTCGCTTTTGCCTTTGCCTTTGCTTTTGCGTTTGCTTTTGCTTTTGCTGTTGCTTTTGCTTTTGCGTTGCTTCTGTGTTTGCTGTTGCTTGGTTTTGCTTTTGCTTTGCAGGCGCACAGACCCACACAAACGCATGGTCAGAACATGGGTGTTTTGTATATATACATATATTTTCATATACAGAAAACATAAAGACATGCCATAATACGTCGGGTTCTCCCGGCCGGTGCTATATGCGAAACCTTCGTGAATCCTACGGGCTCAAGCTGCCCCACTAAGGGCTCAAGATGGCCCGCAGACGGACAACATGCATGGAACATACGTGCGCACACACACATATAAGTACATATATACACATATATATACATATGGCAGCAGCAATAGTGGATGCTGTGCTGCGCTATGCTATGTTATGCTCTGCTCTGCTATGCTATGCTATGTTATGATATGATGTGTTGCGCAATGCTATGCTGGGCTAGGCTAGGCTATGCTATGCTATGCCATGCTATGCTGCGCTATGCTATGCTGCGCTATGCTATGCTATGCTATGCTATGATATGCTATGCTATGCTATGCTTTTGATTTGCCTTCGCTTTTGCCTTCACTTGTGCCATTGCTTTTTGCTTTTGCTTGGCACCCAGGGAGCGCAACTGGGGGAACCGCGCGTTTGCGTTTACCTTTGCTGTTGCTCGGGGGAACCGCCCGGGGCGATTTCCACTGCGCGGCCCCTTTAAGCCAACAAAGTAAGAACCCTTCTAAGCAGAGCCTAGGTAGGGAATAACAACAAGTACACAAATCTTTCGAGTATAACCACTCGCGCGGGCCTAGGTTCTAGCGCTGGCCGGGGCGATGACACACTGGATTCAGGTCGCGCTGCTTCTTTGGGTTGACGCCACTCTGACGTTGCGTTATTTTCGAGCTGCCTCGATGCTGTCTCTGCATTGCCACGCCCTCCAGGATTCCCATTCTCTCCCCTGGCCGCTCTCGTCAATCCTCGTGGTTCGTTTCTCGGTCCTCTCGCCTGCCTCCTCCTGCCACCGTTACATCCTCCTTCCTCGCTCCGTCGCTGTGGTCCGCTACGATCTCTCTCCATTCCTCGATGCCCCCTTCTGCCCCCCACTCCGTCGTTCGTCGCGCTGCTCTCCCGAATCGTCCCTATCGCACCTCGCTCCTCGCATGTCTTCTGATGCTCCGAAACTAGTGTTCATGCTCCTCCACTCCCCGATCCTGCCTCGAGGCAAAATATCGCCTTCTCGCGCGTTGTTGTGCGCTCCTCCTCCGTCCTTTCCGTGTCTTTGCTCAATCCTTCCACCTTCAAACGTACGCCCCTCCTCCGCCTTTGTTTTTCCTCCCTCGTCGCTCGTCTCTTGTAGTCCTGCCGCGTCGCCATCTCAATGTTTCATCCGTTCCTGCTTCCTGCCTCTTCAAACTGGGCCCTCCGACTCTTCCCTCGCGCTTTGAAATGTTGACGGATGCCACGTGACAACAGCCGGCCGTCCTCGTCGGGACGTCCACATCTCGTCCGGGGGGGGCCTCCTGAGTCCGAATGCCTGCTCTGGGGGGCACCGCGGGGTCATCGCGAGGCCGTCCTGGAGGGTCGTTTCATTGAGGGAGGGCCCGCAAGGGCCTCTGAGGGCTGCCTTCGGCCGCACCAGCTCGGAGGCGAAGATTCGGCGGGGCGGGTTTGGAGCCCGTAACGGGGAGCGTCAACATAATCGATTGCACGGCACAGTTTCCACCGTCCGCCACGTAGTTTGCTGTAGGGTTTTGGGCACCCCATCTATAAACATGTTGCGCACCATTCGGATTGCACAACACAGCTTGTACCATACATGGATTGCACCTATCGCACATCCAGGCTGCGCAACTCACTGTTTCCACTGGACGAGAATAATGTATAGGTTCCAAGGATTGAACGATTTCTAACAGCCTTCGCGCGGGGTACACTTTGTGTCGAGTATTGTCTACTCTGCCTGGCGCCTCAGGTCGGTCTCCTCATCACAATCGAGTGGTCCCCTTTTCGTTTTTTGTCCCCTTTTTCGTTGCCGAGCGCGGGGGGGACGGTGGCGCGCCGCCCCGTCGCCTGCCGCCGCGCACAGCGCACCTCGGCGGACTGCCACAGACCTGGTAATGCAAATCACGCGCGACTCTGGAAAATTATCCCGGGGTATATTTGAAAACCCGTGAACGTTTTGGAACAATCCGGCCTACTTTTTGAAGAAAGGTGAAAACAAAAACAAAAAAAACGAATCGAATTCGATTAATTCCGGGATCCAATTTGGAAAATTCTGTGATTCATGTTGAAAAATTCCGGATTTCAGAATTCTTCAGATGTCCTGCGCGGCGTGCGCATTCCACCCCTGAAAGCTGCTGTGTTCCTTTGAAAATGTCCGTACTCCTTTTCGAACAATTCCGTAACCGCCTGCGCCAAAAAAGCGGATCAATCCGACATTAACTTCCGGGCGGTCGACGGGCGCGGCCGGTTGATTCACGCACCGCACCGCGCGCGATTGGGCGCAGAGCGCGCCGCGCCCTGCGCCCGCGAACAGCACTCGAAGGGGTTACCTCGAAAATCGCGCCACGGCAGCTGCGACTCGCAGACTCCCCAAGAGCAAAACAGAATGAAGCTGGAAACCTCTGCGGGCGCTCAAATGCACGAAAAATGCACCGCGCACATCACGCAAAGAACCTGCGCGACGGAATGCGCTCGACCATTCGTCCCTGGAGCCCGCGCGGAACAGGAAAACGTGGAAATCCTGAAAACTATCAATATTAATACTTCATGCTCCTCTGATTCCAGTCCGCTCTGGCAAACGGCGTAGCTATTACTTATGAATATGCGTGTTACTGATCCTCCTCCTCCTCCTCCTCCTCCTCCTCCTCCTCCTCCTCCCTCTCTATGCCCTCCGCCTCCCTGTCCAACTCCGCCCCCCAACCTGCCCCTCGAGTCCGCTCTGCAACTCCTCCAGGGCGCGGTCCACCGCGTCCAGCGATGGGAGGGCCAGGG